CCTTTCCGCCTCGATCCCCGGTGGAAGCAGAAATAAATGGGCAGAGTTTATTTCACCCTGATGCGCCTGTTCACTTAGCAGTAAATAGGTACCTGGGAGTTAGACAGCTGCTACGGGCTGCTTCCTGGGGATGTGTAACAATAAGGAGACTTGGTCGAGGACCGGGCCGCTAGGACGCTAAGCCCCGAAATCATCTCAAGATAACCTCAAGAAGATAACCTTTCACCACCTTATCTACCCTTCGCGGTCTTCCTCACCATTCACAACCTCACTCTTCACCACCGTTGTTCTAGACTGTAGAAAATAATATTCTGTATGAATCTTCGTGAGGATGGAGTCTGACATCGAGTGGTTGGAAATTAGTGTAATTTGCAATTTCATGCAAAGGGGAGGACAAGGGGCTGGACCCCAGCCTGCCTCTGATCATCCCTGGACAAAGACCAGACACTCTACAACGTTTCTGGAGACTAGCCTCTAGCGTCTGGCCCCCAATTTTGATCAAACATCTTATATAGATAGTTATACATTCACTCACCTGAGGTAGTTGCCGGGAGTGTCCACCTGGCGTGTTGATCCGATGTGACGGTGTCTGATCTTGCTGTGGTCCGTATAAGCGTATTTGATATATATATATATATACACTATCGCCGAAACATATATATATCAGTTTTAATTAGTTTTAACGATGACTGCTGTTCGGGGTGAAATTCATTAGTCAATTTATTTTACTAAAAATTTGTATTTTAAATTGGAAATATTAAAAACTAAATAGTGCAAATATTTAAGTCCCCTCGCTTGGGGTATTATGGCCGTGCTGTAAACGTTGTCTCTCAAGTCTATCACGATAATTTATAAGGACAAATTCTGAATTCCGGATACAAGTGAGGCAATAATGTTATTCTTGTATCAATGCACATTGGACTAGGTCTTACGAGTATATGAATGATGGCGGCTGGTGGCCGCTTGCTTTATACTGGGAGGGAGACGCAGTTGCCAGGTTTCACTGCTTGGTAAGCCATACATGTGTCTCTGTTTATCTGTGTGTGTGTGTGTGTGTGTGTGTGTGTGTGTGTGTGTGTGTGTGTGTGTGTGTTGTGTGGTGTGTGTGTGTGTGTGGTGTGGTGTGTGTGTGTCTGTCTGTCTGTCTGTCTGTCTGTCTGTCTGTCTGTCTGTCTGTTGTCTGTCTGTGTGTCTGTCTGTCTGTCTGTCTGTCTGTCTGTCTGTCTGTCTGTCTCTCTGTCTCTCTCTCTCTCTCTCTCTCTCTCTCTCTCTCTCTCTCTCTCTCTCTCTCTCTCTCTCTCTCTCTCTCTCTCTCTCTCTCTCTCTCTCTCTTTCCTCTTTTCTTCTCACCGTCTTTCTATCTCAAGAAAAACACGATGTGCACTGTATCCATGTTAATTTTAGTTTATCTTTCCACTACGCTTGTCTCAAAAACGTTTGACATTGACCTTAGCACGCTAAACTCTCGTGATGGCGAGTCGTTCCACTGTCAATTTTCTAGTTTTGTTCCACTGTTTATTATGGTCCTCAATCTTAATATGTAATTATATATCAGTCAAAGTTGAAGTGTGTGCCAGATCATTTTGAGCGTTTATTTTAGCTTTTAATTGAGTGAGTGTTTTTAATTTTGGTGAGTGTTTATATTGTAAACGTGCTCTTAATTACAAGTGTTTTAGTCTTAGTTGTGGGAAGAAATTTTAATGATAAGTTATATTTGTTTATACAACTTGCAATAGTTGTACCTTATATACGTATTGCCTCTCGGGGCTCCTGTTGTGAACTAGCTCCCCTGAACCACAGTATCCCAGCCTTTGTTATAATGATTAGTGCCCACAACCGCCTCCCCCCCCTCCCCGGAACCACAGTATCCCAGCCTTTGTTATAATGATTAGTGCCCAAAACCGCCTCCCCCACCCCCCCCCCGCCAACGAACTAGGAACCAGGTTCGAAACGGGTTAGGTTAGGTTAGGTTAGGTTAGGTTAGGTTAGGTTAGGTTAGGTTAGGTTAGGTTAGGTTAGGTTAGGTTAGGTTAGGTTAGGTTAGATTAGGTTAGGTTAGGTTAGGTTAGGTTAGGTTAGGTTAGGTTAGATTAGGTTAGGTTAGGTTAGGTTAGGTTAGGTTAGGTTAGGTTAGGTTAGGTGTTTAGGTTCTGTTGACGATTATTTGTATTTGTAGTACGTTGGTGAAGCATTTACAGCGTTGTGGTTCGAACAAAATTCGTCAGTGAAGCACTTGTTCCGGAAGTGTTCGAACGTCATCAGTTGTGAGTCGTGTGTAAACCGTTTTTCATTCATAAACAGCTGGGGTTTGGCGGGTGCATGGAATGGACTTTGGATCTTTGGAGAACGGGCTGCTCTAGGAGGACTCGAACCGTGGAGCTGGGCTCTCAGCCCGTCCTCCAAACAAAGATCCAAAAGTGATTCCATGCACCCGCCAAACCCCAGCTGTTTATGAATGAAAAACGGTTTACACACGACTCACAACTGATGACGTTCGAACACTTCCGGAACAAGTGCTTCACTGACGAATTTTGTTCGAACCACAACGCTGTAAATGCTTCACCCACGTACTACAAATACAAATAATCGCCAACAGAACCTAAACACCTAACTTAACCTATGTCTATATATACACAATATGGTATTATATTATAATATTAATTTATATTTGAGAACATTCCCGTTTTCAATGAACAGCATGTAAAAATTTATGAATGCGTCTGTGGGGTCGACCGCTGGATGTAATGGACTTGAGTCGAGGACGGGTTGGCCTGTACACCTCGCCTTCAGTTGTGGACCTGAGTGGTATACGAATATTAAAGTCAGTGTTTCAGGAAACCTTGAATGCTAAAGCATGGGGTGAAGTGGGGAAGGAAGAGCTATACGTAAAGTATGACAATTTAGAGAAAAAGGAAGCGATGGCGGGGACGCGAGGCTCACACTCAGCCATCTTCCTCTTCCTGGACCTCACTAACCTTCCCACAACCATAATAAATTAGTTGTTGGCATGGCGTTGCAATTATATCATCTAGATAAGGGATCTATCTTGAGGTTATCTTGAGATGATTTCGGGGCTTTTTAGTGTCCCCGCGGCCCGGTCCTCGACCAGGCCTCCACCCACAGGAAGCAGCCCGTGACAGCTGACTAACACCCAGGTACCTATTTTACTGCTAGGTAACAGGGGTATAGGGTGAAAGAAACTCTGCCCATTGTTTCTCGCCGGCGCCCGGGATCGAACCCGGGACCACAGGATCACAAGTCCAGTGTGCTGTCCGCTCGGCCAACCGGCTCCCCTTTGGAGATCCACAGATCTCCAGTATCATCTATTGATACTAGTAATGGCTGAAAAGGGCCACCACTTACGGGCTATTCGTGCCCGTGCCACCTTTTGGGTGGTTTAATCTTCATCATCATCTCTCTGTCCAAAGATCACATTCACTCCAAAATCTACGACTTACGGGCTATTCATGCCCGTGCCACCTCTTGTGTGGCTTAATCTTCAATCATCAATCTCTGTGTCCATACAGCCCCGCTCCTGTACCAGGTAAGTCCACTACGGGCTCACCATAGCCTATGCTACTTGCAACTTTTTGTTCCGAGTGGCTGAATCTAAAACAACGACAATATCTCTCTGTCTGTATTCCTTGGAAATGTGTTAAACACAAAAACGTTGGAAATTTTCGTATAATTTTTCGTATGTGAATACTTACACATATATTTGGCTTGAATCTTTTAGAAAATTCCTCCATCCCTCAGTAATTGCGATTGATTGATTGATGAAGATTAAGCCACCCAAAAGGTGGCACGGGATGAATAGCCCGTAAGTGGTGGCCCTTTTGAGCCATTACCAGTATCAATAGATGATACTGGAGATCTGTGGAGGTGCGACTGAACCCTGCGTGACGGGAGATGTCTCCCGTGGTGATGAGGAAGGGACAGAGAGATATTGGTTTGGGATTATATACCCAACTACACCTGAGTAGATTAAGATCCATAAACATTATATCGAATAATGGAAGTGTTACGACTGAATGGAGATATGCTATTCCCTAATTCTTCAACTGTACAACGCATACAAGTTTTCTTATACTTATAAGTACTACGAGTAATTCAGCAAGCTTAGTTAATGAAAGACAAGGTATTTTAAATTGAACTCTTGATTATACATGTCACTAATTTCAGCATCTATAATCTGATGCCCTAGAAGCAGCGTCACTCATCCTGTTAGTGAACATGCCGCCATAGTGACCGTGTCACTCAATCTGTGAGTGAACATACCGCCAGTGACAGTATTGGGCAGCGCCACTTATCCTATGAGTGAATCCCCTCCATTCCACCCCCCCCCCCCCCCCCCCCCAAGTAAGAAGAAAGCCCACTGGATTGTTCATCCTGTCACCTGACGCAGCTGGGACTTACATTTCTCAATATCGTTTTATCTTTACAATAGTTGTTATATCTAGTTACAACAACTCCCCCCCCCCTCCCCCCCCACGAAGCATACTAGGCTACCATTAATTATCTTGGCGACATATCACGATTAAACTACGTAATTCCCTTGTGGCGTGTTCCAAATACATCAAAATAGATTCGATGCGTTAACATAAAGGTTATAACCCGTGTAGGAATACGGTGTACTCTCACACGGGTGTACGGTGTACTCTCACACGGGTGTATGGTGTACTCTCACACGGGTGTATGGTGTACTCTCACACGGGTGTATGGTGTACTGTCACACGGGTGTATGGTGTACTCTCACATGGGTGTATGGTGTACTCTCACACGGGTGTACTCTCATACGGGTGTATGGTGTACTCTCACACGGGTGTACGGTGTACTCTCACACGGGTGTATGGTGTACTCTCACACGGGTGTACGGTGTACTCTCACACGGGTGTACGGTGTACTCTCACACGGGTGTATGGTGTACTCTCACACGGGTGTATGGTGTACTCTCACACGGGTGTATGGTGTACTGTCACACGGGTGTATGGTGTACTCTCACATGGGTGTATGGTGTACTCTCACACGGGTGTACTCTCATACGGGTGTATGGTGTACTCTCACACGGGTGTACGGTGTACTCTCACACGGGTGTATGGTGTACTCTCACACGGGTGTATGGTGTACTCTCACACGGGTGTACGGTGTACTCTCACACGGGTGTATGGTGTACTCTCACACGGGTGTATGGTGTACTCTCACATGGGTGTATGGTGTACTCTCACACGGGTGTACTCTCACACGGGTGTATGGTGTACTCTCACACGGGTGTACGGTGTACTCTCACACGGGTGTATGGTGTACTCTCAAACGGGTGTATGGTGTACTCTCACACGGGTGTACGGTGTACTCTCACACGGGTGTACGGTGTACTCTCACACGGGTGTATGGTGTACTCTCACACGGGTGTATGGTGTACTGTCACACGGGTGTACGGTGTACTCTCACACGGGTGTATGGTGTACTGTCACACGGGTGTACGGTGTACTCTCACACGGGTGTACGGTGTACTCTCACACGGGTGTATGGTGTACTCTCACACGGGTGTATGGTGTACTGTCACACGGGTGTACGGTGTACTCTCACACGGGTGTACGGTGTACTCTCACACGGGTGTATGGTGTACTGTCACACGGGTGTATGGTGTACTCTCACACGGGTGTACGGTGTACTCTCACACGGGAGTACGGTGTGTGAAGTACGCACGGTACTTCACTCACTGTACACATTGTTGTGTACGGTGAGTGAAGTGTTTCCATCTAGCCTAATGATAGATTGTGGCCAGTGATATCGTGTCCAGCTCTCCAATATCCATCTTACAAAACTTATCTGACTATCATCTCTTAATTAGATTTTTCACAGATAACGAAAGCCTGCTAAATAATTTATTTAGTATACAGTAGTCCACAAATCTAGTTAGAATAAATTATATATGAAG